AAAGATAAGAAATATATAATATAATTAGCCTCTAAAAAATATTCAATCATAGGCATATACTTTATTACGCTATCTTTGACCAACGCCATTTTCTACCGACTTCAAAAAGGAGCCGGTACTCAATTCGACTGTGTTTTTTTTATGTGAGTTACCTCATAACTTCTTGCTAGGTGAACCGATTTCGATGATTATTTTTTACTTGAAAGCTGGTGTTTCACATGTGGTCCCGTATAAATTTGATCAAGGTTTGACCAATAGATTTTCAGTTATTCTTAATAATTTATATTGAAATCGGTTGTACAATATTTTTTTTATATTTCAGTTTTAAAATATTGTTGAAAACAACTTCACCAAAATGTTCATTATATATCGAAATAATAACATGAAACGTAATTTTCGCACACTGGACTTTGTGGAATATGAAAATGTGTTTTTTTACGTGATTTAAAGTGATACGTGAACGACACAGTAGTTCAAATGGAAATTTTATAAAGTGTATAAAACTGTTACGAAGAAAAATATAAGCAAATAACTTCTAAAAACAGTGTAATTACTTATCTTTTATATAAAAAACTAACAGCCTCTTGCACTCACGCGGCTAAGGAAATACACTAAAGTGTGATGTAATGTGAAGTAAACGCGACGCGTTGTTAAAAGCGGAACCTCGTCATTTGAAGTAAATTCTCTTAATTTAGAGAAGCGTAATTTAGTAACGAAACTAATTCTAATAAAATTTTAGTTGCATAATTGTTAGAAATAACATTTAAAAAAGTATTGTTCTGAGCACTCTTAACTATGGTTCTAACTAAACGTAGTAATTATATACTCTTTGGTTCTGAGAGGTCCTTTCTAAATATTAACATACTCTTTGGATCGTTCTACTAAGGTCAGAGAGTCCAGAACTTGACAGATTAATGACCGCATTGCCACGCCCAACCTTACCATACACCAAACTTAGGAATGTACCCAGCAGTGGGACTTATATAGACCGGAACTTAAACTAAAAAAATATTGGGCAAAATTACTTATTATATAAGAAAGACCTTTTCACTTGTCATAATCACAAACACAATTGCATCATGCTTGGTGTTAGATACTTACATTTTTATCGCGGAAACGTAAATAACTTTTCTAGAATACAACTAAGGCTAATTAGCATTGACGATTCATAACAGCTTACTTAATGATAATATGACAGTTTATTTGTCTTCAATTAGGGGCATGAAAAACCGTTTCTATTCTACTTGTATATAATCAATCATAGGTTGTCTCTCTGTGTATTTAAGTACTTGTGGCACGAAATATTGCATTGCTCTAGTCTGATAGATTAGTTGGTTTAAGTTTATTATCATATAAATTAAAATATAAAAGTCAAATCGTGTCGTTTAGCTATTAACATGCTTGGCATTGTTTAACGGATTACTATATAAAATAGCTGAAACCATGATTTGGGCGACGTGCCAATATTTTTCCGTCGGAACACAGTCGCTGCCAAAGTTTATCTCTTTAAATGAGGCGACAGTAGCACTGCGATATAAATTATTTCATCAATCAATTTTTGTCTCATTTAGTTAAAATTTTAATTATTTAATTGTTATTAAAAATATATGAAACATTTTCAATGTTTCAAAAATATAATTGAAGAATTGGGTGCAACAAGGGCGGTACCCAACGCCCGTTTTGATGTTATTGCATTGAAATATGTAATGTGTCATCTAGTATTTGGTGACAAAAACTCATTTCGATCTATCGCTTCTAGGCGGAGTGGGAATCATTTATTTTGAAGGAGGCGCTCCGCCCTTGTTGCATAGACTACAAATGTGTGTTTAAATTTCAAACACTTTATAAACCTGCAGTTTTTAAAAACTTATTTAAAGTTAAAAAATGTGATTTAAGTGAGTATGATGCAAATTATGACCAGAGTGAATATGTTCCCCCGAAAAAGAAAGGAAAAAAGAAGTTAAAGAATTAAAATTCATCGAAAAAAATGTGCGAAAGGTGAAGAGAAATTTGGGTGAAGAGTACACATCGGCTCGGGGTAAAACGATACCTAAAAAGGTTTTTAAATATATCACCAAGTTTTGTTTCAAAAAGCGTTGTAATATCCTCGATTATCGATAATAAGCTAAGCTTAGCGGTCAGCCATCGCAGTCTACGTCACTTGAAGATGCCTCGTGTAGAGGCGAAACACTTGTTCTTTTGTCGTAAGTGGTGTCTTTCCTAGTTTTTTTTTATAGGATAGGGTGACAAACGAGCACACAGTCCACCTGATGGTAAGTGGTTGCTGCGGCCCATAGAAATCAACATCTATCCTCTATTACAAATCAAAATGTAGATGCGTTGTCACCCGTGAGGACTAAGATGGAATGCCTCATTTCCAATAAAAAGGGCCTCCGGCCACCTGCACTCACCAAGCGAAACGCAGAGGTAAACCTCTACTTCACGCTGGTATTCTGTGAGTAGTTATGATTCTGATTGAGATCTTACGTCTGGACTTTATGGAGAGACCTGATGGTGTACTTCGGTGACTACTACTGGAACTGCTGGACAAGTGGAACTAGGTGTGCCGAGTTTGGGCTCGTTTTGTTAGTTATGATGAGACCTTACCTCCGGACTTGATGGAGAGACCTGATGGTGTACTTCGGTGACTACTACTGAAACAGCTGGACAAGTGGAACTAGGTGTGCCGGGTTTGGGTTCGTTTTGTTAGTTGTGATGAAACCTTACTTCCGGGCTAGATAGAGTGTCCTGAAGGTGTACTTCGGTGACTGTTAGTAGAACTCCTGGCCGAATAGAATAAGGTGTGCCGAGCTTAGGCTCGTTTTGTTAGTCATGAGGAGACCTTACCTCCGGACATGATGGAGAGACCAGATGGTGTACTTGAGTGATTGCTACTGGAACTCCCGGACGAGTAGAACTAAGTGTGCCGAGCTTGGGCTCGTTTTGTTAGTTATGATAAGACCTTAACTCCGAACTTAATGCAGAGACCTGAAGGTGTACTTCGGTGACGGCGGCAGCAGCTATGCGTGAACGTGATGCAGCGATAGCTGAAGGAAGATTGAGCAAAGATGGCATACCTCTAATAGATATAAATGCCAACGGCTATTGGTCATCGCAATCCTACGGAAATAATTATAAGGCATTGTTATTGAATCATACCGTTTAAAAAGTTGAATGCCGAAACTATGTGTTGCGCAATATTTGCAATAAGTTAAGAGATGTAACCAAAGACACAAAATATGCCTTGGTGCACAGAAAAATGCTGACTGAATTGTTTTTCTTTCCACAATTTATATAATTAGATTTCCCTCCGTATGCGTAAATACATCAAAATAATAAAATAAAATTAAAATAATTAGCTTGTTTAATTTTTATGTATTCTTCAAACAACCCACAAATCCAAAAAAAAATTGCTATTTTATGCAAAAAAGTTATTCACTCGGGAAAAAAATTATGAAACGGCTGTTTTTTTTCTCGATTTTAGGGCTAGCGCTATAGTAAAATTTGTTCATATTGGTTTACTTTACTCTTGATTCTGAAGAAAAATGTCTATAGGAATAAAAATTATTGTTTTTATAAATTCACAATTTTGACAATTTGCCGTTTCGAGAATAGACCATTTCTATGATTGACCATTTTGGTCCAAAGCCGTTTTATTTAAGCATTAATTTATTATTCGTTTAATGAATCTGATACAAAAGTTCTCGATAACCTTTTGTAGAAAATAACAGTTATTGATTATTTTAAAATTAATAAAATAGAATATGTACATATTTTAAAAATAACAACACGAAAATATGTAGGTACATAATATTTTTAGAATAACAAAACAAATATATGTACATATTTTAGATACGAAAATAAACATAGAAACATTTTAAAAATACGAATACAAAATATATGTCAAATACGAAATATATGGGATTTGAACTAACAGTCATCGCGGAAACGCGGTGCGAATGCGGAGAGCGGCGCGCTGGACCAATTGTACATTTTACGTCGAGCGTCGGCGAGATTCACGCGGTGCACCCCGCAGTGGGCGGGACTACTCGTCCCTTACTTCATCTGCTTCACCCCCTCAAATTCATAAAAGTCGTTCTATACAACTAGCCTTAAGACGTTATAACCTTTATTTACAATTTTTTCGAAATTTATTTTTCCGAGATACGCCCATGTTGCCAACCCAATGCTTCAATTACAAACCCTTTTTATGACATGACAGAATTATTTTAACTGAACCACAAACTATATCAACGACTGTAAAAGCATGTTTTAAATATCGCATACACAAGGGCGTTATAACCGCAGCAGCGACAAAGCCCTTTATCTATGAATAAAAAAAATAATGACATGTGTCAGTAGTGAATTCTTCAAACAAACCTTTAGCTTTGTTAATGATAACCACTGATTTTCTCCTTTCGCCTGGATAATTTCAAGTGTCTAATTTCGAAGTATGTCGGTATCGCAGGATATAATACAGTGCCTCCTGCAAGTGTAGGTGTGACGTCTACAGGCATTCCTTTCTTTTGGTAGAGCCATGATGTAGCTATTATGATTTAAGCACGACAGTCGTATTGACTGAAGAAGGACCACGCTCACTAAAACAACAGCGTAAAATAGCAACTTAACACTGCTGTTTCGTATAGTGAGAGTAACGTGGCATTCTAGTTTAGTGCTCAGGGGTGGGTCATATTGATGCATAATCGAGGAAATATAGGTGTCTATGGGCGGCAGCATTCACTTGTCATCAAGTTTGTCACCCTTATTCTATTATAAAATCCGCACATATGCATTGGCCTCCCCCAAGGATTGTCACAAAGCACAGTCCTGAGTCAGCTGCATATCTTACCAGGTCTGAAGACCTGGTAAGATACACAGCTGGGAGTGAACTCCATCTCCATCCGTGACTGTACATATTCGATAAGATCGCGTGAATAAAAACTGAATAACCATTGTCCTTTTACGGTATTGAGTTAATAATTAAACATATTTCTTTACAGGTATCTCCTCTTCTACCACAAGACTGTTCTGGAGTATGACTGTGATGTCTCTTAGACTGGTTACTAATTAACCCAGTTATTATCCCACTTGTACCCAATGTCGTGTATATTCGATATTCACACGTCCTGTTTGGATTTTGCTTTTCAATAAATGTCAATCCTTCAAATGTATACTTCGAGATAAAAGAAAAAGTCATATTTTCCTCTCGTGATATTAGTGTGTAGATGTTAAAAGGAAATCTTGATGATCAAACTCGATGTTCCCGCGAGGTTATTCACGAATTTCTTAGTGTTAAGCTTTAAAGTATGTCTAAACGTCAATAATTTATTATTTTATGACTGAAAGAATTCTCAAACAATTTTTTACTTTAATTTTAAAACATTGGACTCATGGCGAATGGCTCACGAGTCGCCCGGAACTTATTTAAAGTGTAAAATCAATTTCACACATTTTAGTCTATTTTTCGATGAAAAATATATGTCAGATTATCTTTGCGTTCTTGTCAATTTTAAGTTATTTTATGTGAAATCAAATTGTATATTATATCTATATGTATACAATATGTAAATATATGTGATGATAAAAATGAAATAAATGATCGAAAAAAAAATCTAGTTAGAACATATTCAAATTAAAGTAATGAGGCATGTTTTCATTGAATCCGGTAATCTTCATAATAAACACTTCAATCTACCTCGCTGTTTATCTCTTACTTGCATTTGACTTTGTAAATGTATACCATATACCAAAATGTGGTAAAATGATTTGTGAGTATATCGCTTTTTAAAAAATTATTTCTATTTTCATGCATGAGTGTAACTACCAAGTGTTTAGAATCTTAAGTAAAATCAATGTTCCCTATATTTTTGCAGGTAATACCAATATAATGCAATAAAAATAAATATTTTAATATTCAACAAAGTTCAGGAAAATTCAATTTTTAAAATAATTATAGATTTTTCCATGTAATGTTGCGCTCATGTGTATGCATAGTTGTTTTAAAATAGTTCATAAAGTATGACTGAATTGATTTAGCTTAATGTGATATTTAATATTTATAACCTGTATTTTTAACGTAGATAGTTTTATGAATTTCCTTTCCTGTTATTAGTTTTATTACGGTAGGAGACAGTGGTTGAATGTGTTAGCAAATTGTTGTGTTTTTATGAGTATGTATTCTATTCCTTAATATTGCTACGCGATTTTATTACACTAGTTAATTAGTTCCACATCACAAGATTTTTGCAGTGTCATTACAAATGATCATTAAATTAAATCTGGATTTTTTGATAGTCAATAACCATTTTTGTCTTATGTATGCTTGTTATAAAAATTGGCTTATAAAGACAATCAAATTAGCTCAAACTGATAATGAAGAGTGTCATTTTAATAGCAAACATAAATTATAACACTATTGTAGAAAAGAATCCTTATTTTGTTACTCGTAACTAACTAAACAATTTGCTAGTATCAACCTATCAAGGAAATATTTTCTTTGCATTTACTAATAATTTAGTGATTTAGATCCGAGCCTAATCAAGTAATTATCTTAAACTATTAGTTTATAGCTACAAATAATGTGATAGAGAAACTGAAAAATGGTATTTTGTCTTTGTGTAACGCAATAATAGTTTTAATTTCTTAAATTTCATCAGGTCGCTCAGTGTATGTGTTAAGTAACATTCGTCTCTATACCATTCGAACAAAGAATTTAGTTTTAGCGATTATGATGTATACTATACAGGTATATCTCGAATTAAGTGTAGTTTATGTAAGACTATAATATGCTCTATGTCGTAATCACAGTACGAATAATCAGGTCTCTCGGTGTTTGTAATTCCATATCAGATGTTGATTGTTGTAATCATTATAATGAATGTCTATTGTTCCCACTGATCCCTGGCAATGTCATATATGTCATGTATGGACCCTTCAAGAAATATACAGATATAATCAACGGAAACAATTTTTTACTTCTATTGCTTTATTTGATAATAAAATAACATTGCGTATCACAAATAATTTCAATTGTTCGAAACAGTTAAATTAGTTAAAATGTTTTGAGGGTAATTATATTATCAATTTAAAACAAATTACATTCAAGTCTTTTAGTAAAGAAATACGACAAAAACGTAATGCGGTTTCGTAACAATACTTAATACATAGTTTCTACACAAAAAATATTAACAATTGAAAATAACACGATAAAATTTCGAGGTACATTTTTGCAGTAATTATATAATAATATTATAATAAATTTGATGTATAATATTTATCAACATATTAAGTTATAATTCCACTATCACATTACAATCAGACTAAATATATTCATGGCCACTTAATGGTACACTCACCAGTATCAATTTCAATATTTTTCAAGTGGTTTAAGATATCAAATGTAACAATAACTAAAAGCTAACATTCCTGATATGATGATTACTAAAACTAATGTAATAATATTAAGGTATAAGGTATAACTTTTAAATTGAAAGCAGACTAGTAAAGTTTTAAATTTAGTGACAAATTTTATCGTATAATGAACATGGTTTAATTTATTTTATATTTTTGGAAGCAAGAAATTATTTAAACATTCTTTATGTACAGAAATATATATACAGAAATAACGAAATTTCTGTATAAAAATTTATATCACCTAATTTTGAAATCTGAACACGTGACATTAAATTGCTCTCTTATCAGCTAGTCTAAAAAAAGACTAAAGGTTTAGGAAACTAAATTTAACCGATACGTAGCGGCACCAATTTTCGACAACTTTTAGCTGTGGCGGCAAATATTTCATGGCACGCCTGGCGTGTCACTTGTTTAGACCTAATTAAGTTTAGTTATCATCAAACATCAGTTACAAACGGAAGGATACTTGTTTTTAGTGGGTAACTACGTGTTTTTCTACGTGTTTTCTTTGAAATGGAGAGTGACTTTTTTATGAAGAGATTACAAACATTTTGTACTATTTTTTGTTTTATAAAAAAATCATTTATAGAAGTAGGTACAGCTAAATCACCCCAGAAAACCTTGGTTTTTATAAAATTAAATTTTCACCTAATAATAATATTTGTAAATATCAAACAATCAAGAACCTTAATTTGGAAAAAAATAAGGTTTATGATTCATTAATATTTACAAATGCTAAATATTATTTAATGATATACAAATGTAAAAGTAAAGTCTATTTGAAAACATCTAATTAGTAAGAATAGCAAAACAAGTGTTTTCAAAAGGAAACAAACGCCGGCGCTATACGGTGGCGGATTGACGAAACAGAAACAGAAACTTTTTTATTCAATATAGATGATTATAAATAATACTTATTGAAAGTCACTCTTTTGTATAATAATCACTGAAAGACTATTTATTAGCGAACTTTTTTTATGCATGAACGGTTTCAAACTGTTTCAAGCAAAAATAAACCTTATACCATATCACAAGAGCACATGGTACTTCGTAGGTCTATTCGGCCATATGATAGTAGGCCGTTCAACCATTTTAAACAAGACAAACGCATTGTTTTTTTAACAGGAGACTTGTTTTCCAGAAATTTATTTACAACTTGAGTTTGTGAGTGATTGCAATGAGTGCTATTATTTGTTACTTATTATACTATTTTTCCACAACATGATTGAAAACCCACAAAGTAAAAAGAGTATCATGTACAAGTTAAAAAAAGGTTGTCTACCCCTAAAAATTTCAAATTTTCAAAATATCCAGAAACGAAGCTGCAGACATGAACTACTTGCAAAATAATGAATATTTTGTTCTGGATAAATTTTCCAAAAACGCAATTTGAGCGAGTTATACCGATTTTTAAAAAGACACGACTAGTGTGTCATACGCCACACAAAAGTAATCGATGGCACACCTGGCGTGTCACCCGCACTGAACCGGTTAAAACATCAAAAATACTTGAAATCAGTTATCACTTCAAATACTTTGAATTATTTAATTTTTATTTTTATAATTTAACAGTTTATTAGTTTCTCTAGATTTTATCTATTTATAGTGTATGGTGTCGCTTATAAAAAATATGCATATCTAATGCCGTAAATAGCATGTTATTTCTTCCCCTTATTTTAAAACTAGAAAGAGAAAGAGAGAGAGGGAGAGAGAGAGAGACAGAGTGAGATTATTTGTGGTGTTATTATGCAGAACAGACAACATTTTATCTTCTAAGATTCAACATTAATATTGCTAAATATACATACTAAAACTACTTAACAATTATTAGTACTGCAGTTTTCTAAACGAGTTTATTTTATTAACCTTTTTCTTAATCATGCATGCAAATTACAAAACGAAGAGATTCGAAATGAACGACCAATTGTATTACTATATGTCAATAATGGAAGATTTCAGTAACTTCGAATAAACGCTAATAAATTACAGTAGTTACGCCCACATTCCTGACGTACGCTAGTTACATGAATATGATCTAATATAAGATTATGCCGAAGTTGTACATGCCTATGTTGAATTAACTTCATTTTTATACAAATTTATAAAGCTCACTAATTAAAACCATTAACTATATATTACACTTGCTAATTAACAGTAGTTTTAGAGATGCACCGGGACTTCTCAATAATGTGTAGTCACTCGTCTGCTAAGTTATTGAGAAATAAAAAACAGGCTGCCAAATCTGTTTAAGTTTTATTTATTTTATCAGGAATCACTTTCGATATTGAAGTCTATTGCATCTATCCCATAACTTTGTGAATGGACCTGTACAGAAACACAATTCCAGTAATTATCAAAACACTTGTTAACAAAAATGATATGAAACGTTGAAAATTGTAAGTTATGAGGATTCATTGAAATCATTGCAATTCTCTTGTTATTCTATCATTTCCTGGATGAACGACGAAATTAAGATATTCGGTTTAAAAAACCACTATCTAAACTCCTAAATGCTATTTCTTTATACTTATAAGCTAGGCAAACTTACTGCTAATTTACAAACCGTAATATGCCAAAAAAATTAAGGCTAACTACAAGTTTCTCACATAAAGAAAAGTTAACAATATAATCGTTTATTACTTCTTGCGCATGTCACTGGCACGTTATGAAGCTTTTCTAGAAACTGATAAACCAGACATAGGCATATGTATAATTTTGACAGAATGAACATACAGAAGAAGAAGGAAAATATCTTAATTCATACGGACGGAATCTATAATCAGTTGAAGTCTTTATCATTTCTATCTACTTCTAAGATTGTACAGCACAGCAGCTCGTACAAAACCTATGTCAAGTGCGGATAGGTTTGAGTACTTAGTAATTTAACTCTTGTGTAACAATAATATACAATATTTATAATGAAAAAAAAAGCTAACACTAAAATCATATAGTCCTATTCCCCGCGGTATATCATCAAGAACGCTAACACGCGGGCCTGTCGTTCGATAGTTCCGCAATTACGCCAGCGACGTTCACTACGAACATACATCACGCACCGGTGTTTTTAATTTCGCAAAATGACTGTTTGTGCTGTGAAATCATGTGAAAATTACTCTTGGTAAAAAGATAAGGATAAGAACGTCACTTTTCATAAGTAACTATACAATTTGGTGGTGTATTTTTTTGTAAAAGAATACGAAAGTTAAATGTCAATACATAGGCTGCACTAAAAGTATCGGGAATGGAATATTTCCACTGTTCCTGTCATATTAAAATCTTTTTAATTGAAAACCCATTGGTTTTAAAAATCGAATACCATTTATTTATTTAAAAAAAGATTCTCGGTCTTGTCACAAGGTTTTGTCAAACTTGTTTAGTCGTTGAGAAAATGGAATTGACTCGAGAAAATTCAAGAGCGATGACTTATTATGACTTTCGAAGTGGTTTAACACAAAAAAGTGTGTTGATCGGATGATTTCTGCATTTGGTGATGAAGCCCCATCCAAAACCACAATTTATCGCTGGTATGCTGAATTTCAACGTGGACGAGTCAAGCTCAGTGATGATCCCCGTCAAGGTCGTCCAAAAACTGCAGTCACCCAAGAAAACGTTGATGCTGTGCGTAAGCTGATTGAGGAAGATCGACATGTGACATAACACGAAATTCAGGCAACTTTAGACATTGGCATGAGTCAAATACAAATATTCTTGCATGAACAATTAGGTGTAAAAAAGTTGTTTTTCCGATGGATACCGCATTCGCTCTGTGAAGAGCAAAAAGCGGTTCGCGTTACTTGGTGCGTCAGAACTCTCGAAAGATTCCACGCAGGATCCTGAAATGCTGTATACAACATCGTATCAGGTGACGAATCCTGGACATACGCGTACGAACCCGAATCAAAAAACCAGTCACGAGTTTGGGTGTTCGAAAATGAGTTAAAGCCAATAAAAATTGTTCGTTCACGGAGTGTTGCAAAAAAAATGGTGACCACGTTTGTCTCCGAAACCGGCCATGTTACGACTATTCCTCTTGAGGGACAAAGAACGGTTAATGCAGAATGGTATGCTAGCATTTGTTTGCCACAGATTGTTTCTGAACTCCGTAAAGAGAACTGCAACCGCCGCATCATCCTCCATCACGACAATGCGAGTTCTCACACCGCACACAGAACAAAAGAGTTTTTAGAGCATGAAAACAGAATTATTAGACCCCCGACTCTAGACTCTCCGAGTAGAGCCCCGACCTAAGCCCTAATGATTTCTATACTTTCCCTAAAATAAAGAATAAATTGCGTGGACAGAGATTTTCATCACCTGAAGAAGCTGTGGACGCCTACAAAACGGCCATTTTGGAGACCCCAACTTCCGAATGGAATGGTTGCTTCAATGATTGGTTCCATCGTATGGAAAAATGTGTCAAATTTCGCGGAGAATACTTCGAAAAGCAATAAATGCATTTTTAAATAGAAATGTTGTGTCACTTCCTTGATTCCCGAAATGTTCAGTGCCGCCCTCGTACAAGTAATAATACTGCGCAATAATATTCGAGTATTGCCTAGTCTATGAAATGCTTTACCATTTTTTTAATGTCATGATCAACCGGAAAGGTTATTTGTATAGGGGTTTTAAACAATCTAATTTTACTCAACCTATAGAGTTAAACCGTTTTAAGGCTTAGGGTTGAACTACATCTGGCAGCACGGAATCGCATTTTCCTGTGCTTCTCAACCCTTTTTGATCACTTAGAACCGTTATTTACTAGAGCGAGAAAGAGCGCGAGTGTATAGTTCCACCCTCAAAAGCCGATTGTAAACCGGCTTCAAAAGTTTATCTATCATTCTTGACAATCAATACTAATATAATATTATAAATGTGAAAGTGTGATTTTTTGTTTATTTGTTTTTGTCCTTCCTTCCCGAAGCAACGAAACGGAGCAATTAAAAAAATTAAACATTTGCCATCTCTTGGCCGAAGTTTACGCTTAACCAAACTTACTTTTTTCGTCATTTTACTTAGGATTGAAAAAAATTAATGTCTTCGTGAAAAGCGGCAATATTTTTTGTTTTACAGTATAAAAGTATAGTACTCTGTATATATTTAATAATAATAGAAATAGATTATAAATATATGTTCGAACCTACATAAAACACACATAACCAACCATATCCTCATACACACACACACACACACACACACACACACACACACAATGCACACGCCTCGCACACACATTTTATACTCATAGAATCAATAGGTACGTCAATATGAATGAAATATAAAATCTCCCACATTTTTGGGTAATCGATCCGCACTGTTATTACCGAAGTCACGCAGTTAATGCAGCCATGGTACGTAAGATATGCGCGTCACGTGGTACTCACGCACACATGAATCAAAGACTGGCATCACTATGAACGGTGCGGTGTGTTAGCAACACGGTATCTGGACCTATAAAACATCTTTGGTTCGTTCTTCGGTTCGATTATGCGCTTCGGTGACGTTTTAGACAGGTAGCTAGGTAATGCCTGTTTCTTCTCAATCTTTACAACGTTGTTAACGAGAGACTTGTGGACGATAAATCCGACACCTCCTTGGGACAGATGGTCTCCCTCCCGGTGATAGAGCAAGTTGCCGGATTCGAGGATTACCGTGTCCTCCCCCTCTCTTCGGACCTCGGATAATCCTATAATATGCCAGCGTAACTTGTCTATTTCTTCTTCTTTTGATAATTACAAATATTTAATAAATAATAATTAAATACTTTATAGAAGTTTATTTTAACATAATACTTAAATATGAATGTAAACTTAATAATTTAAGTAAGGAAACTTGTAGGAATCAGTTAAATAAGATTGCTGTTTAAACGCCAATATGTTTATGAGGCTTCTTCATGCTTCATGTTTATATTATTTTATTTTTGTCCCTGAAAAGTATAAAGTAATAATAAGCTTATTACTTTATACTTTTCAGTCCACAGTCACTCACGGAACAAGTAACCATTTTGGAAAAAAGTTACTTACTAAAAATAACCACTATTACATTCTAAAATATTACAAAATATCTAGGAGCAATTTCTTGCGTGCTGACTTGTGCCGACCTGTCATTCAAAATCGGTTCCAGAGACATGAGATTTGGTATCCTTTTCTATCTTGCATTTCTGCCATAAGGAATTTTCTTCTCCCTTGCACACTATGTTGGTCTATAGTCTATGGTCGAATGCTATGGCCCATAGACATCTACATCTATCATCGATTAATAATCAAATGTAGATGCGTCGTCAACCCTGAAGACTAAGATAGCCTCGTCACCACTGAAAAGGGTCTCCGGTTCTCTACACCCACAATACGAAAACAATGCTGCTGTTTTACGCTGGTATTCTGTGAGCGCATGGTCCTACCCCGGTCGAGTCGACCTATTCGTTTTGCAGCTAATATGTATAGATATAGTTTAGGTGCAGCATGGCTCTACCGCGTATAAAGCTTGGCTGGTTTTTCACTACCGTTTGACTAACTAATACTCACTTTAAGTTGTGCGAGAGAAATCTAGTCTGGCGTGGGCTTTGCTGACTTGGAAGGCTTGGCGGGCTCGTCGAGCAAGCTCTCGAGTTGCTTGACGTCAGTGACGGGCAGCGAGCAGGCGTAGCGCCGACACACGTAAGCCGTCGGCACGTCCCCGGACGGCAGGATGCGGCTTAACACTGCGATCGCATTTTTTACCGCTATTTGTTACAAATATTCTTTTTTATATTTACGAGAACAATAGATATTGACGGCTATATCTCTTTCTTTCTCTCTTACCTCACTAAATATCAGTAGAAAGGGAGAGGTATAGAAATAATTAATACTTAATTTAAGTAAGTAATAATAAACCATTATAAGTGAGGCCGTGAATGTTAAAATTATTCTATGTGTAATGGGCTATTCAAAAATGTATTATATTTTATACCTTTTCAGTGACTTACGAAACAAAAGATAAATAAAAGAATAAATTTGTCACTTTTCGCAAAGACTGGTAAAAAGTTGAAACTGGTCAGAATATGATGTACCTAAAGCAAAAATAATAAATGGCAAAGAATAAATAACATGAGCGCACTCACGTATGTCGGACATACCGGCGGGCGAGTCGGCGGCGGGGTCGGCGACCGCCAGCACGCGGCCCGGCAGCAGGCGCGCGCGCACCACGCGCAGCAGCTCCAGCGTGCGCGGGTCCGAGCACCCACCCGCGATCAGCACCTTTTTTATACAACAAGGGTGACAAACGAGCACACAGTTCACCTGATGGTAAGTGGATGATGGCCCATAGACATCTACATTTATCCTCAATTAAGAATCAAAATGCAGATGCGCCGCCACCCCTGAGGACTGAGTTAGAGTGCCTCGTTTCCAGTAAAAAGGGTCTCCGGTTCTCTTCGCTCACCATACGAAACACAGCAGCGTTAATCTGCTATTTTACGCTGGTATTTTGTGAGAGCGTGGTCCTACCCCGGTCGAGCCGACTCATTCGTGCTGCAACCACAATATAGCTATAGCATGGCTTTACCACGTAGAGCATGCCACCACCCACACCACATATCTCTATGATAGATCCCACACTGTTGTCTATCATAGTGCGCCTCCATGTTTCTCAAATTCGTTTCTTTTACAAAAATTCACTTTAAATCTAATATATTTTAGGAACTTGAAGGTCGTTACAAAATAAATTATTATACAAATTCACAAATTTGCGCGTTTACCGTTAAAAAGAACACCTTTGTCATATCTCTAATTTCAGAGCACTTCTCTTTTTGCCGTAGCCAATAGCGGAATCTTCGGCGTCGGCGTCGGCATGGTCACTTGGAATCGAAAGCTAAATTGGCTTCTAAAAAGCTTGGCGTACTCAGTAGGTGAAACAGTAGAGCGGGACACTACCGTGAACAATAAAAAAGCGAGCGTTTGTAACTTTACAAGCGCAGGATCAGCCTCACATGGAATACTTTTCTCATCTCTGGGCTGGGGCTCCCCAGTGCTATCTCCGATTGGCTCGATTTTCTATCGTATTAACAAGGGGAGTGATTCGGATTAATTTCAGCCACCAAATTTTACCAACACACATCGCGATAAAACTTACGTTTCCATCCACATCATTTGGATGCTTGACTGTCCACAACCGTAGGATTTATTAGGACTTTTCTTAGGAATCGTTTACCAACGGCAATTTTTATGGACCGATACGACTTAGACCTTCAAGAAACGAGCTTACTCCTTTTTAAAAGGCCGGCAACAAATCTGCAATTCTCCTGGTGTTGTCGAATTATATTAAAATTAAAAAAAAGGCTATCTTGTTGACTGGTTGTACTGGTTGTACTTGTTCACATAGATGTTTCATGTTAAAACCAACGACCGAGTGCCCCGACACAGGCAGGTTTTCTTTATTTGTTCCGGTACAGTATAGTTTACTCTTTCACCTCCTTAAATATTGTAAATGATTAAATCGGCATCCGGTATAATTTTTTTATGGATAACAATAATCGATAAACGTTGTCAATAACTAACACTTGGTGAATAAATCATGACGTTACTGGATAACAGAGGGCGCTTATTACAATAATGATAAATGTGCTAGAACAATCTACCAAAAATAATAATATTTAAAAATTATTGGGTAAATATACATTATTCTTGCGATAATAAACCGAAATCACATTCAGTTTTTGCTCCATATCGGGAATTACAATGTCTTAATGCACAATCGAGCATATTTTCTATAAAAAATATTTTTTAAAGTTAGGAAACGAATGCGTCGTGAGCTTTTGGCGATGTCACTAAGACTAAATGACACAAATCCGAAATATATCCTATAGGACATAATTAAGAGGTGACAATTTTGATACTGATGTCCGGTCTATTACTACTACATAAATGTCTTTGTTATCTATACTACTAAACGACCACTGGGCACTTCATACATTGACCTCTAACATTAACGTTACTCAACGACGAAGGCGTATCAAATGATTACGCACATGGGGTGCGTAATCATTTGATACGCCTTCATTACGATATCAGCATCGCTGCTAATTAATAAACACTTAAATAAGTGTCTCAGTTACCAAGATTAACTCCTCAAAACGCTGTACTTAGGAATACTGTTCTGTGACTTGTGGGCTTGATCTCGTGAACGAATACGTCACATAGGCCGAGGTTTGAATATCATTCATAAGTTACGCTACGTCATTTATAAGTTACGCTCCTCAATTTTCCGTAACTCCTATAGTAGACTGCGGACGCGAAGAATACTTGTTTTATAAACTGCGAAAGTTGTTTTCTACAATCTAACACTGATTTTGTCTAATGTGCCTAAGAAAACGACGTCATTATTTATGTGCGCCCTTCGTCAACGTGATTTTAAGTTTATGTCAGACTAGCTGACTCCCCCACGACTTCGTCCGCGTGGCAATTATTACGATTGGAGTTCATGGGTTTTAATTTTTTTTGCGTGGAACACCAATTTTTTTTTTCTAAATTAATAGTTAGCCCAAGATACTCCTTATAACATTAGCTATCTAAGTGAAAATCACGTCAAAATCGGTCCAGCCATTTCGGAGATTGGTCGGAACAAACAGACAAATAGACAAAAATTATAATTTTTTTTGTTATCAGGTATATACATACATTCATATGCATTTAAAAAGCTGTTATTTTCACATTACAAACAGACACTTAAATTTTATTTGTTTGCATAGAGAAGTATTTTTTCTAAAAAAATAATAATAAGTATCAAAAATGTAAATACAAGTGCGTGACAAATTTACCGTGCCAGATACCCGCTCAGGTGGCGCTCTTTTTGTTTCGGGTGTTTTGAATTTTTTTAATTTTAGTTATGTAATGTATGTAAATAATAGGTCTTTACCTATGAAATTGCCGTTCTGCAGTACTGGCCATTTCAAATCGAAATAATTATTGTTTGGCTAAGAATTCTAATCTCAACTTAATTTTATTTTAAAAACAGACTTTTTTTTAAATTATTATTTAAAACTATTCCTTTGTGTAAAACAAATTGTGGTTGGAGACGTGCGAGCTTTTCCATCATTGTGTTCAGTTCTTCACAGTACACATCTGGTTATCTCATCTTGTTTGGTTAGAAGCTGTGATGAATGCTACATTACCAAACAGTGACCATCACTTTTCTAGGGGAAGTTTTCATTTAGGGCATTGTTTAGGTGCTGAACCAGGATTCAACCTACTTGCTGAGCGCTCGCGTCAAACAGAATCAATTTTTCGTCGAAGGTAACAATGCGGTTTATGATTCCTACGTTTGTGTGCCGGCGATCATTGAGTTCATGGGGCACCCATTTGTCAAGCTTTTTTACCTTGCCAATTACGACGCATTTTGATCATTATTGTTTTGATGCTAATATCGAAAACTGCTGCTAACTCAGTCGTAATTTAGAGTATCATTAGCTTCCACAATCGCCTTTAATACGTCATTGTGAACCAGTTTTCGGCCACGACCACAGGGTTCATTTTTAGGTCGAAATTTCCAGAACGGAAGCTGGCGAATCAATAACAGGCGGTGCATTCGTTTGTAGTATTCGCTCTGTAAACGTCGTTGATGTAGCGTGCCGTTTGTGCCGCATTGCTGCCACGACGGCACTCATATTCCATTATAATTCGAATTTATAACGTATCAAATGACTAATTTTGAAAAAAGAAGTCCATGTTTTTAAAATAAAATTAATTTGAAACTAGAATTCTCGGCCAAACAAAAATTATTTTGATATGAAATGGCCAGTACTGCAGAATATATTTCATAAGTAAAGATCTATTATTATATGCGTTGCAAAATATTCTAATGCATTGCAAAATAATTTCAAAAAGGTCCAGACATAAGAGTATATCTAAAACCTTTTAATGACGTACCTGTGTGGGAGAATCATTGTAGAACATTAAAGCGGACATCATCTCGGGAAGGGCGGTAGGCGATTCGTTGAGGCGGCGGGCAAAAGCAATCAACAGCTTCCGAGCCATTTCCCTTTCAACGTCTCCGCCTTCTGGAGCCTCGCTCTTGTCTGCGTACGCTGCCAGACGTTGTAGGTTGTGACACGCGATGCTGTTGCCTGACGGCTCAGCGCCATCTTGGTCTGAAAGCGGAAAATAAAACCTTAAATTTAGTTCGTGTCATATCTTGAATTTTGATTTGGGCAATAATTACAGGAGGTAAATTGGGTAAGTACAGATTACTGGTTACGTATTGGAACACATTTTGAGTTATTTGCATTTAATTTTTATTTTAATCTCAAAAAATGCTTTTAAAATTGCTGTCCCCCAATTAATCCCAAACAGAGTAATAGACATAACCCAAGGGATCACTAAGCTGAAGTGGCTATGAGTCAGCCATTTAAGAACTGAGAAAGAGAAAGTGAAGGGCGGCCTCCCTACTAGATGGAGTGACGACATGGTAAAGCATGCAGGAGGTTGGTTAATGCAGGTGACTCGGGACCATGCTTTGTGGCAATATTTGGAGGAGGCCTGTGGACAGCTGTGGACATGTGACAGGTTATAATTATGATGATGATCCTATATAGCTCCCTACACTTGTTTTTCCAAGAAAATATTACAATCACAAACAGCTTTTCTACAGATTTATTATATTTTATTATAATAGGTCGGGGGAAAATTTCTTCATCTCTGTTTTTACATACAATTGAAGAAAAATCTCTTTGGTTGTAATATTTGTATCTGGCTGGTTTTAATATCAATACATATAGGACATTAATAAAAAGAAGAATAAAAAGTAAAAAACACTTTCCCGCCATTTTTCAATTGTTTTTCTGTTCGCCAAAATGAGTAAATCTAACGAAGAAATTCGATACATTCTGAAGTTTTATTACAAAAAAAAGTGAAGAAAGCGACTCAAACCGCAAAAAAAAAAAATTGGGACATCTATGGATGCTAATGCAGTGTCAGTAAGAGTAGCACAAAGTTGGTACAAGCGTTTTCAGTCCGGGAATTTTGATTTCTCTCTGAAGATGCAGCTCTCTCTGGTCGCCCTCATACGGATAAAAACGATGCCATTTTCGAAAAAGTGGAGCAAGATCGGCATATTAGTAGTTACGACATAGCCGAGGAAATGAAGATTGACCACAAAACAGTTTTGACCCATTTGAAAAAGTCTGCATATACAAAAAAAGCTTGATATTTAGGTACCACGCGAGCTCATTGAAAGAAACCGAATGATTTGCGATTCTCTATTGAAAATTAATGAAACCGAATGATTTTTCGGCAATGGTCAAAGGGCAGTCAAGCTCTACAGACTGTAGTGAAACCCAGATTAACACGCAATAAGGTGATGCTGTGTGTATGGAGGGATTGGAAGGGCATCGTTTATTATGAGCTTTTACCACCCTCATGTACTATATATATATACCAAAAACTATAAATATACCAAAAACAAAAACACAGCAGTGGTAAGTGGTAACGGTTTGATAGTTACAGTCTATACACGTCCCACTGCTGGGCACAGGCCTCCTCTCACTTCAGAGAGGGTTTTAGGACAAGGAAACGTCCGCCGCGCGGAACGGTTTGATAACTCTACTCGAATGGAATTAAAAGCAAAAAAGGAGCGATACTACTCTCAATAATTTTCTTGAGGCCCTTATGTCTATTCTAGACCTCTAATTATATATTTTAGAATGTACTACCAATGTTCGAACTAGAAAAAAACATGCACTCGAAGAACAAAAGTATTTAATAAGAATAGCTAAATAATGTTTACATTTAAATGTGGAAAACTTTTACTTCAAACAATTATTCTATTAACTATTTGTACACGCCTTCAGTTGCCCCGACAAAGGTCGACTATCCCGGGGCCTATCAGCGGAACACTCGACGAGCAACCAAGGATGGAGCCCAATGGCCTATGGACAATTATTCTATAAGGGCTGCTAATCAAACAAAAAGTTACCGATCTCCGGAGGTAGGGTTGACCACAGGGTACCAGTCAGGTGATAAGTGAGGTGTATGTAAAGTGGTGTGCGAAAGTGTATATACATGTAACCTGACGGCCCGATGTAATCGGAGAGAAGATCCACAAGCGCTGCTATTCTCCAAATGTGCGCTCCCTCCAGTCGTAGTTCACCAATTGAAAACTTCTGCCTTCATTTCACTATTTCAGTTTATCAACTTTATTGTACATTTAATTAACTTCAAACTCAACTAAATCCCCATTAATCGTATTCAAACAAGTGACACATGGCACGAACGAAAATAGTCAACACACAAGAAAGGCACTTAACGCGACGTTACAATTCAACATTAACTCCCAAAAACAATTAACCGGGCCACGCCCTCGAAATGAAATGCGAGCATCAAATTCCAGGCCGTCTGTCCACTCGGCGTGCGCGCACGGTTCCGCGTCACACAAGCAAATTAAATATTGCAAAATGCACTTCAACATGCAATTACTATACAAATTGACGTAAATTACTTGCAAACGAAGTTACTTTAAGCACTCAAATTCAAGAACAAACGCCTCGTCCTTACGTAAACGTACTAACAAAAAAAAACTACACGAATTAGAGGCTTCCTTTTGCACGCGACCTCGCAGTTCAACGGAGCTAAACGACTGCCCTTCGAGGCGGTCTTAACGAGACCCAAATATAAATAGTAAATTCCAAAACGACGCGCACAATTAACCCAAATTTTCAAATCAAAACACCGGCTGCGCGCAATCTACTGACACAGGTCCGTGCTTTGTGGCACTCCATATGGAAGGCCTATGTTCAGCTGTGGATTTGTGATATTATGACCAACACTATATTCATTATTGAGTAGACGTAATTGTATATCTTGTATAAATTCATCTTTTATGTACATTTGTAATCGTTTTCTAAATTTCTTTGTTACAACAGATATGTTAGCAAAAAACTAGAAGCAATGTAAAGACTACTAAATTTGGATGTTTGTCTTTAATTTCATTTGATATTGTTTTATGCCAAGATTTCAATGAATTTGTAGTTCTGTGAGACACTCCGAATGTATCCAAATAGCCACATAATTTTCGTCCTTGAGCCATGTCTTTTCATAGTAATTCACAAACGCCATCATATTATCATCATTATTGAATGACGTAATTTATGTCACATCAAATGAAATGTAATAGAACAATTAAAAGTATTTCAGTTTTTACCTTAAAACAAGAAGTATGTATGTATTTTGATTAGTATACTATTGCTATTGCCGTGTAGTGGCGGTTAAGAATATCCACTACCCCTCCCCCCTATAATGAGAGTAACAAATAAACGGCCCCCAGTCCCCGGCGGGCCCGCTATTCCTGGCTACGGTGGCCACCTAAGACGACTCGACCTGGCAACATACAACGCACGCACCCAGAGGACTGACGAGAAGATCGTGGAGCTGGAAGAAGAGATAGACAAGTTACGCTGGCATATTATAGGATTATCCGAAGTCCGAAGAGAGGGGGAGGACACGGTAATCCTCGAATCCGGCAACTTGCTCTATCACCGGGAGGGTGACCATCCCAAGGAGGTGTCGGATTTATCGTCCACAAGTCTCTCGTTAACAACGTTGTAAAGATTGAGAGCGTGTCGACGAGGGTTGCGAACCTTATACTCAGAATCGAGTGTGAGTAACGATCCAAGAGCGATTCTTATCCGATACTATTCCGAAGATATCCCGGACGTCAGTCTGAGTGAGATTAGAATGGCTCTCCAGCACCTTAAAAACGGCAAGGCCCCAGACGAGGATGGAATTACAGCGGAGCTTCTGAAAGCGGGTGGAAGACCGGTACTTGAAGTCCTTCAGAAGCTCTTTAATTCCGTCCTCCATGGTGGTATTACACCGGAGGCGTGGAGCAGAAGTGCGGTGGTCTTGTTCTGCAAGAAAGGTGACAACGCTCTCTTTAAGAACTACAGACCGATTTCCCTTCTGAGCCACGTCTACGTGCTGTTTTCGAGAGTCATTACGAATCGTCTCGCGCGCAGACTTGACGACTTTCAGCCTACCGAACAAGTCGGTTTCCGAAAGGGCTTTATCACCATAGACCACATACATACCCTTCGGCAAATTGTACAGAAGTCTGAAGAGTACAATTTGCCACTATCAATTTGTCACTCATATCTATCGTATGTGGACTATGAGAAAGCCATTGATTCCGTCGAAATTGGGGCGGTGCTGCAGTCCCTTCAGCGGTGCCAAGTTGACTGTCGGTATATCGATGTGCTGAAGTGTTTGTACAGTAGAGCTACGATGGCTATCCGAGTACAGAACCAGAGTACGAAACCTATCCAATTGCAGAGAGGTGTAAGACAGGGTGATATTATATCCCCGAAACTCTTCACCGCTGCATTGGAAAACGTTTTCAAGCTTCTGGACTGGAAAGGATACGGTATTAACATCAATGGCGAGTACATCACTCACCTTCGATTTGCCGACGATATAGTCCTTATGGCAGAATCGCTTGAGGACCTAAGTACCATGCTCAATGACCTCAATAGTGTCTCCCAACGAATAGGTCTTAGGATGAACATGGACAAAACAAAGATCATGTTTAATGTCCATATCACACCTATTCCGGTAGTTGTTGGGAGCACTAAGCTCGAAGTTGTTGACGAGTATGTTTACCTGGGACAAATAGTCCGACTAGGTAAGTCCAACTTCGACCGAGAGGTCAATCGACGGATTCAACTCGGCTGGGCAGCGTTCGGGAAACTACGACACATCTTCTCGTCAGACATACCTCAAAACCTTAAAACGAAATAGTACAACCAGTGCATGTTGCCAGTGATGATTTACAGATCTGAGACGTGGTCCTTCACTGCTGGCCGTATGAGGAAGCTCAAGGTCGCTCAGCGAGCTATGCTCGGGGTTCCTCTGCGTGATAAACTTAGAAATGAGTATATCCGCAGTAGAACCAGAGTAACCGACATAGCCCAACGGATTAGTAAGCTGAAGTGGCAGTGGGCCGGCCATATAGCTCGAAGAACCGACAACCGATGGGGAAGAAAGGTTCTTGAGTAGCAGCCTCGTACCGGTAGGCGAAGTGTAGGGCGACCTCCCACGAGATGGAGTGACGACCTGGTAAGACATGCAGGAAGTCGATGGATGCAGGTGGCTCAGGACCGTGCTTTGTGGCATTCCTTGGGGGAGGCCTATTTCAGCAATGGACTTATGGAAGGCTGTAATGATGATGATGATGCTAATGTCTACCAAGTAATCTTGGGCCAGTTTCCGCTGTACACAGCCGAAGGAGAAAATCGGAAGAAAAATAATATACGAATTCCGACTATCTACCCCATCTGGATTGGATAAATGGACACGTGTTTTCGAGTATCCACCCTAGGTTGGATTTCTTAGAGTGGATAAACGGAATAACCCATTTTTATCAGTCAGATCATTATCTCTATAATGTTTTTAGTACATAATAAATGTTGGTGGAGTTACCTTCTTTGAGCCTCAAAACTACAGTGCTGTCAGAAGTAGAACATGTAAAGTAACCACCATTTTCGTTATCCCAAAACAACTCATTCTGCTTATATTGCAGTTCACGTGCCCAGTTCAGCCAATACAGGTCAAGTGATGCTTCATACAAATTTAGTAAGCCTTTAATGAGAAATGCATAGTCGTCCAGAAAACCCTTTATTGGCTCATTCCTGAAACATACATTAGTGTGATTTAAAATTTTTAGAACTAGAAATAATATTTGCAATCGCCACAATTGCTTGGTTGACTATCACGTCAAAGACACTGTTGTATATCACCGATGTCAATATTTTAGTCTTTGGTATAGTAAATCCAATATGAATGAATGAATATTGGAAACAAACATTAGCTACTAGACATAATTCCAAAATTCCTCAATTTCTTAACAATTTAAGGTTTAAAAAAGCCAAATAATTAATTTCTTTTTACACTGAATGGATGTATTTTGATAGATATCTATTATTTTGTTTATTCTATTATATAAGATTTTAGCTTGAACTGCATATTGACACCTTGCAAAAGCAGAATTTACTTTTTTAGTAATTACAACTATATTCTTCATTTATTTTGAGTGTTATGATCATATACGAAGGTTTTATGAAATTTTAGAATAGAAAATAGAACATATAATATAGTTAACATACATAGTTCCCAAAACTCAGTTTGTCAGTATTAGCATAATCTAAGCAGTATCGGCAATCGTGGCTAGAGAAGTGAACAATGTTCAAATACTCTTTGACAGTAGGGCGGCTTTATAGCCCTCCAGTAGTCATATTAAAAACCTGGAGCTTGAATGCATCAGACTCCTTTTGGGTTGGTAAGATCACAGGTGCAAGACCGCACAAATCTTGCTGCACAATCTCGGATTAATCACATGGAATGCGGGGAAGCTAGAAAAGCCTTACTCAACATCAATAGCCGCTTTTCCAAAATACTGCTTTGTTTAAATAAAATTTAAATCGGCTATTGCATCTAAATCGACTAACTGGATCAATAACATGGATCATTTAAAGGTGGCACTTGCCGAGATCCTTGATGACATCAGAAAGTTGTTGGAATTCTTCCACATAAAAAATATGTGCTTAGTCGTGGGGTTGTGAAAGCCAGCATAACACTAATATTACTATGGTCAGTGATGCCATATGGATCAAGGAATACATACAAGGTGATAATTTTGTTAAAAGGCTTATTTAAAGCAATGAACTTTAAAAACTATGACGTTAAGATTTTTCTGTGTAAGCATCAACTGTTGGAGTACTGGAGTACATCAACTTTTGGAGACATCCTTACTTTTATTGTAATTTTTTTGCAGAATGGGGGTGACAAACGATGATAACTAACCCTAAAATATGAAAGATATTTTAGGGTTAGTTATCAATAAAAAAAAAGCCAAATTTGATAACGTCAATAAATTATAAAAATTAAGTATTGTTCAAATGGCATCCAGTTTGAAATCACGGAAAAGTTGTATTGAATTTTCACAACATTTTCCTAATATTGATCATCCATACGAGGGGTGCATGCCAATTTTCGTAGAGTATTTTGAGATAAAAAAAAACTAATTTTTTACAATGGCATGCAATTTGTAAACACGGAAATGTTCTATTTTTTTTTCATTTCTATGTAACCCTTTGAGGCCCGTCGGCCGTTGCTAATTGCATGCCATCAATTATTATAGCCCTCTATCTTTCATATTTTAGGGTTAGTTATCAATTCTTAAAAAGACATGCAGGAGAAAATGGGAGAATATTTTCTGTCACCATCTCCTAGTCTCAGTCACCAGAACAAACAAACAATTTTTGAAGCCTCTGCAATACATCCAGACCCTAGTTTTAGATATGATTTGAAATCAGGCAGAATAATATTGTTAAAAATTCCACTAGAATAATTTTTATAAGTAGTTGCTTACGTCTGAGAAATAGTTTCGTCTTCTGCCCTATAGCAAGAATGTAATAGTGTTTTAGTGGAAGAATCATAAAGATGTGCTTTTATGAACTGTGCAGTTTTAATCGCATCCTCCACGTAATTTTTTTCTCCCAAGCCTTGACCTGCTTGAGCTAATCCAGCTATAATTAGCCCATTCCATGAACAAAGCATTTTTGTGTCTAAATGGGGGCGAGGTCTTTTCTGACGTTCTTCATATAATATATTGATGCAATCGGAAATTACATTTTCAAACTGCTCTAAAGACAGTCCAAACTTAGCTATTGTTTCTTCTTTACTCCCATATACAATTAAAACATTCTTGTTACTAAGTTCCCCATGGGGATCACTTTCCGGTGCAATATTACCATCTACTTCAACATTGAAGTAATGACAAAATATGTCTAAGAAAGATATTGAATCAAGTTTTTTGTCATCCAGAAGAGATTTTAATTCATCATATTCCCATACACAAAAAGCACCTTCTTTCTTATGGGGAGCACCATGGTATGGATAGGAATCTGCATCTTCTGCACTATAATAACCACCTGATTCATGTCTTAAATCTCTGTTCACATATTTGATTATGTCACGAACCACATCTGCATAAAATTCTTCTTTTGTTGCAAGATATGCATCAGTATAAGCAACAATTAATTGGGCTTGGTCATAAAGCATCTTTTCAAAATGTGGTACATGCCAATCATTATCCACAGAGTAGCGAGCAAACCCACTAGAGACATGATCATGAATACCTCCTTTGGCAATTTTAGTCAAAGTGTAAAGGCACATATCAAGGCACTTTTTTCCTTCAGGATCTGACTTGTCTCTTGCATAATAATGAAACAGAAAATTAAATATTGATGCTTGTGGAAATTTTGGCGCTAATCCAAATCCACCAAAGTGGGGTTCATAAATTGATATATATCTACGAACACATTTGGTCCAAGTACCTTCACCAGGTACAGATGGTGATGCGTCTGAATCAACCAGAGATATTTTTTGCAATGCTTCCATAATATTATTACTGGCTTCAACAAATTGTGAATTATTTTCCTTCCACTTTTTAGCCAAAGACAGTAAAATGCTTTTAAAGCCTGGACGTCCCCAGCGATCTTCAGGTGGAAAGTAAGTACCACCAGTTACTGGTCTTAGTTCTGGTGTAAGAAAAACTGACATTGGCCAACCTCCACTTCCAGTAGTGGCCATTACAAATAGCATATATACTCTATCTATATCTGGTCTTTCTTCTCTATCTACTTTGATGTTTATAAAATTTTCATTCATGACCTTCGCAATCTCTTCATTCTCAAAAGATTCTTTTTCCATTACATGACACCAATGGCAAGTAGAGTAACCAACTGAAAGAAATATGAGTTTATTTTCTTTTTTAGCTCTCTCAATGGCCTCTTGATTCCAAGGGTACCACTGTACAGGATTATGTGCATGTTGCAGCAGGTACGGTGACTTCTCAAATATAAGCTGATTAGTATGTTTAGGTTTTTCTTGGGTATTGGATTCAACATTGGCCATTTTTATAATATTTTCGCTAAAACTTCTTGACAGTTTATTAGTTCCCAAAGGATGGCCAACTGTTGTTAATCTGTTAAAAAAGAAAATCTTATTTATTTTTATTTCACCAGTAAAACAAACAAACAGATTGAAGACAATACATAACACAATCACAGTAACAATATTGTAACAGTAATATTGTTATAATTCTAACTAGTATATAATCCAATAGTGTGCACAACAAAACAAATACATAATGTTATGAGTGTCAATAAAACACATATTTTAATAATGTTATAATAAAACAATATTTTACCAAACAGAAAGAAATATACTTAAGCAATATACATTAGCCTAAATGTAAAACAAAAACTGTATTAAAAATATGTCAATTACACTTCTTTTTTTTTTTCAAGAAAGAAATAAACTCTTCTTATTTTATTGTAATGAGGTTAGAGGTAGATATCGTTTTGTATTGTACAAAATATAGAAATATGGATATGTAATAGATGGGCTTCAAAAAATATAACAGAACTGATTTTTAGTTTTGATTTTGCTTTGATTACATACATACCTATCTTCTTTTGTTTTTCAAGCAAAATAATTGAAAGTACGTCAACATAAACAAGGTCACGTAATATCATTATCTAAGTGAACAAATAACCTTGTTAGTTTTCCTTATTAAACGTATTAGAACAAACTTCAAATAATGTTGTAAATACCTTTTACTAAAGCTGAAATCTCTATTTAGACACACTGGGCTGGTAACCAGCTCCTTATTTGTGTTTTGATTTATATTCAAATTCTTTAACTTGCTATCACCCGTCGACAAACGTCGCAACAACAGAACAGCCCGGCCACTAGGCATAATAAAATAAATGAAGTAATATTTTCTTGATTTTACGACATGAATTTACCTAATAGAGAATATTATACACACCAAAACAAAATTTCTCTATCTACACTTCTAAGTCAGTGCCATAGATAAATATACATTCTCCAGTATTATATATTAGTCTATGATATACATGTAGCGGTCAGTGCAAAAACACGTCAAAAACAAAAACCACTTTGACAACTCTAACCCCCCGTTTACACTCTCGCGCGAGCGGCGAGGCGAGTCGCGAGGCGAGCCACGAGGCGCGAGTGTAAACGCTAGCTCGTAGTTCGTCTCGCAGTCGCAGCTCGCCTCGCCACTCGCGGCGCTCGCGTCGGAGGTGGTTTTTTGGGCACGAGGCAAAGGGCCTCGCGAGAGACGCGAGCGTGGTATTTACACTCGCGTCTCGTTTCAGTTTGTTTACGGCGCTCTTCCATAATAACATTCGAATTGCTATTGTTTTAAGATTACAATTTTAATAAAATAATATTATTTAATTTTGCCTATAGGTACTAGCAATTTATATTAAATTATGAAACTGAAAAGTTTCTGTTTCGATGAATAGATATCATCCTTCATGTTCTTCCTCAACGACGTATTTTTATTAATTTCATTCTTTTTAAAATGGTCAAGCATCGGTAAATACTTATTAAGGCAAGAGTTGATGCCGCTATTATTTCGACGTCTTTCATCGTTGCTGGTTCAACGCAAACTGACCGCATAGCGAGAGTGTAAACAGGCACTCGTTACCTCGTAACAACACGCGAGCTGCGAGCCGAGAGTCTAAACGCGGTATAAAAAGTACTGTGTTGTCTGTTATCAGCATAGATATAAGAAAAATTATTTTATATATTTTTCTTATATCTATGGTTGTCAGTTGTCACATAATTGTCACTAGTTGTCACAGATTTTTTTTATTAAGAGTTTTGGCTTGGAAGTTTTAAGCCATGTCTTAATTTTTATTCTACCTGCTTCATAGTATGTTGATGCGTCACATTGCCTAAGGAGACAGACACCTTATCTTGAGATTTAACATCACCATCGGAGCACTTGTTTCACCGCTTCCACTAATAGTTCACATGCGCAGACATTTAACACACAAAATCGCACTACTTATACATATCAAAATCCACTTCAAACCATTATTTAAACTATAATAATATAGGAGCAGCAATCCGCCGCCGGTCAAGGACCCGCCAAAACTCTCCTCAAACAAATGTGAAGTGAATAGAATGATATGTTAGTTCCACTGTGTGACCAGAAAATAAGATTATGACATATTTAAATGTACAATTCTGCTTCTTTGAAACCTGAATTAGGGAAACTTAGGAAAACTGTTAATAAACTGATATTTTTTCAAAGAAAATGCTTTATTACAATTAATCCTACACTAACACAAATGCCAATGTGTTGCGGTGTAAGTATTTGTCATAGTATATATACTATACATTCAGTGCTTTAATGGCACAGAGGCAGGGTGTGATAGCCCCAGGCGTCAGATATAAAGGTTAAAAAATAGACGTTACTGAATACTTTTGCTTAAATATGATAATAGAGTGAAATGATCGTAATATTGAAATCAAATCAAATCATTTAACTGCATTAAATATGATAAATATAGTAGAAATAAGCAGTTAAAAATATTTTCGCATTTAGCCAGAATAAGCATGCAAAACAATGTTTATTTTATTTTATTTAGTTTTATTTATTTATTTAAGGACAACCAGAGGTAATTGCAAAACAATATATAAGCTACAAGTTCACAAAACATAATATATAAGCTAAATTTTTAAATGTAAAACCTATTAAAGGCAGCCACAACATGTTTCACAAGAAGAGTAACACTTTATAACATAAATTACAAAATATTAGAAACATAACCTAAAAAATAAATCGAAAACCGAGAAATACCAAAAATATAAAAAAATATAAACTAATAAACTGAGACACCTTAAAACAATACAGGGGGAACATCACAATAATCAATTAAAACAAATAACAAAGTAATACATATCGAACTCTTAAATATTATCTCTTAATTTCTGTAGTACTGTTTTTTTTTAAAGAGGACAAAGAATTGCTAAAAATGTCCACAGAATCCGACATCAAATTCAGCAAACGTGACATACTAACTAAACTATTGTTATGACCTAGATTAGATTTAGAAGGAAGCGGATAGAACAAAGGTACAGATTTACGCGGATAACGCCTTGGAACTTTAAATTTTATTTCTCGCAATATTTGTTCCGCGCACTATTTTATAAAACATTACCATGTCCAGATACTTTCTTCGGTTTGACAAGCTGTCAACGCCGAAGAATTTTAACTTCTCATTATATCCGGTAAGTTTTTTGTCATTTATGTTACTACAATAAGCTAAATTCCTCATAAACCGTTTTTGTATCCTTCCTATACGCAGTTGATGGACTTTGTATTGTGGTGACCATATTACGCTCCCATATTCTATTATGCTGCAGACATAGGTATTAAATAATATTTTTTTAGTTGTGATGTTCTTAAAGGTTTTACTATTTCTTAATATGAAGCCTAAAGTCCTTGAATCTTTCTCTATCATGCGGTCCATTTGTGGAATAAAAGTCAGTTTAGAATCCAAAAAAATGCCCAAATCCTTAACACGATCCACAATCTGTAATTCTTCATTATTTATTTTATATTTCATTTTAAATGGAGATAATTTACGTGTGAAAGAGGTTTGAGAATATTTAGTTGGATTCAGCTGCACATTATTAATGCTACACCAATTTACTAGACCATCAACATAATCTTGTAAAAGTTGTGAATCATTGGAACAATTAATCACTCTAGCTATCTTTAAGTAATCTGCAAATAATAGGATCTTACTATTTCTTATTTGTTGATCCAAATCATTAATGAACACGTTAAATAGCCAAGGCCCCAGGTGAGAACCTTGTGGAACGCCAGAACTGGATATATAGTTATCAGACCTGTAACCGTTTAGTAATACATAGTTAATTCGACCACGTAGATACGACTCAAACCAACCAACTATAGACCCACAAAAACCGTAATTATATAATTTATACAATAGAGTTAGATAGCAGACTCTGTCGAATGCTTTAGAAAAGTCTGTGTATATAGCAAGCATCTACTTGAAGTTGGGTGACGACTTTTTCTGTTAAGAAACCTACATGAGATATTAAATTTGTTAATGTTGAGCGATTTTTAACAAATCCATGTTGGTTTTCAGAGAGGTAGGGCTTAAAATAGCTAGATAAATAAGGATAGACTACGGCCTCAAATATCTTCGAAAAAGCTAACAATATAGATATTGGTCGATAATTAATAACAACGACATTTTACTATCGCCGTTTTTCAATACTGGGACGACTTTTGTTATTTTCCATTTTTCTGGAAATACACCTGATCGCTATGATTCGTTGAAAAATTATGGTTAAGAGCTTGCAAAGAGAAGAAGTACAAATATTTTTAAAAATGAATGAATTCTATCCGGACCAGCTCCTCTATTTTTATCAAGTCTTTTTAAATACTTGTAAACTGTTTTTTGTGGGATGTATAAGGAATTAAAACAATTAGAAGAGGCATTCCATCTTAGTCCTCACGGGTGACAACGCATCTGCATCTTGAGTCTTTATTGAGGATAGATGTAGATGTCTATGGGTCACAGTAACCACTTACCATCAGGTGGACTGCGTGCTCGTTTGTCACCCTTATTCTATATTAAAATATATGCGGTATACCTGCCTCCACCGGGAATAATACTATTTTAAAACTTTTTACAGACAATTTTAATAGATTATCTGAATTTATCACTGACATTATCTGAAGGATCATTGGTTATTACACATTTGTATGATAGATATTGAGATTTACAGATTAACAAATGTTAATTATTTAGATCTTGCATTAAATAGTGAAACAAATATTATAAATTATCGTAAAATGTCAATAACAATGTCATTTAAGTCATTGTGAGGACTACATATGTCTAAAACATGTTTTATAAACAGTACTCTTAAGTGAGCGTGAGTGGATTGTTCAGTTGTCCTTAGCAAGGCACAAAGCATGGTACCTTCTTCCTAATCCGAGCGATAATTTTGGTCATATGTTTATTTCATTGCTACTCGTTTTTACGGCACACAATCATACGCAGCATAGTTTGTAGCAGTAAATTCTCGTCGCGAATGAGATTAATTAAATGAAATGATGGTAGGTAAAAGGAAAGAACAAATCATTTTCCGAAGTATTTCTCCTAATGTTGTTAGAGTACTAAAATTTTATTAGATTCTGCTAACAAAATCTACATATTCTGCTAGAGTCCGATTCCGCGAGAAACGCAAGATACTAAGGTACTTTACTATGAATATTATTAGATTGAAACGAATGCCACAGGAGATAATAATGAATACTGATACTTTTAAACAACTTTCATGTCATTCTTCTTCTTCTTTTTATTAACCCATAATGGTTCACTGTTGGCGGTTGGCGTTCGCCTCACTTGGCACTCAGATTGGCGATTACGGTAACCATTATCATGGATTTGAAAATCATTAAGTGTGAGAGAAATTTGGTCTAAGTATCATCGCTTTTGTATGAAATAAAAAACAGGTACATATTTTAAAATATTTCATACTTAAAAATGTTGTTCTTTAGCCGGGAGTTGAATCATCTCTTTTTACATGTAAAATTATAGCCTATATTATTGCATCCATCAATTATGTTGTAAACAATAAAATATCTACATTTTCATCATCATTATAATTACATTCCTTCACAAGTCCACTGCTGAACATATAGGCCCCAAGAAATGACACAAAACACGATCCTGAGCCACCTGCATTCATCGACTTCTTGCATGTCTTATGAGGTCGTCACTCACATCTAGTGGCGTATTAGTTTTCGCTTCCGGTACGAGGCTGTCACTCAAGAACCTTTGTCTTCCATTGGTTGTCAGTTCTCAGATTTCTACAGTGTTATTTTGCAATAACCGGCCAAATTGTAGAAGTTTGAAGTAAAATTTAAGGAAAAAAATCTTTTTTATCTTTTAAAATCAAAATGCGTGGTAATGCATTATTTCAACTGATTACCATTCATAAATATCTAACGTCTACTATTTTACTACGCTCGCACACATTCGTAAGGATTCTCTGTTGGCATAAACGTTTTGAATTGAATCGCACACAGAGGAGCGCGCGGTCGCGAAGT